TTCAAAATACAAAAAATGAACTGGCAAAATTACAACTTTATGAAGTGCAAAGACTTATATCTATTTGTCAGTATTTTAAATTACTATTGAATGGTAAAAAAAAAATGAAAGCTTCAACCCAAGTTGCGAATATTATTTGGAAAGGTATTTGGAATATAGCTTATGTATCATGTTGTATTAGAGAGTGGGCGAAAGATTTTATTGTTCAAGGTTTTTTGTCTAGTTATCAGCAAAGAAAATATGCAAAAAGATTATCATTATTTAGTGATGAGGATATTAGTTTAGTAGCTCGTACTTGGTTACGTTCTGTTTCTCTAAAAGATTGTTCATCTTTAACATTAAAAAAGGAATTAGAGACAACAATTTTTTCTAAGTTTCTTGGTATTCCAGTTATCATTTCTAAAACAACTGTGCGAAAGTTTATACACTTGTTGGGTTTTCGTAGAAGAGCCGTAGAACAGCAAGTAGGTTTTTTTTTTAATTTATATTTTAATAATACTTAATATTAAAACTTTTTTAAGGTCTACTTTGACGGGCATAAAAGAGAGGATATACAGGAATATCGTAAAAGTTGGGCATCTAAAATAATAAACTATCGCAAAAAAATAGAGGAGTATAGTGGAGATGAGATAGAAATTGTTGTTTTACCAGAACGGCTTGAAATTTGTGATACTCATCATATTATAGTTACTTATGATGAAGTTTATTTTTATGCAAATAATGATATGATATATGTTTGGCTTGAAGATAGTAAATCCATAATTAAAAAAAAAAGGTCAAGGAAGTGCAGTCATGGTTAGCGATTTTTTATGTCCATGTTATGGTCCTTTACGACTTTCAGAGGCCGATTCTATATGATTTGGACTTGATCAATATGCACATGTTATTATAAAGCCAGGCAGTAATAGGGATAATTACTGGAAAAGTGAAAATATAGTTCGGCAACTCCGTAAAAAAGCTATCCCAATTTTCAATCTTCTTTACCCCAGATGCATAGACATGGTTCAATTATATTTTGTCAAATTTTTTTATTTATTAATTTGCTTATTTTTATTTTTATTT